GGCTGCCTCCTGAGCATGTGCCCTGACCAGGAATCGAACCGTGACCTCCTGGTTCATAGGTCAGCACTCAACCTCTGAGCCACGCCAGCTGGGCTCTCAGAAATGTCTTTATTTTCTTCTGACTTACGACCAGCACTTGGCCCCTCCGTCAGGACGGCCTTTCTTCTCCACTCCTGCAGCTCTGCCTTCCGTTCGACTTTGGGAATCAGTGTCCAACCCAAGACCAAGGAAGAGAGACCGCAGGCCCAGGCGCACACCGAGGATGCGCACCTGGCAGCGTTGCCTGCGCCCGGCCTCGCCCACGGGCTCTGCCCCTCGGCAGGTGCGGTGTGCCCAGGCCTCCGCAGCCTCAGGGAACCAGAGCAGGCGTCTGTGAGCCAGGGGTGGGGAGCAGGGCAGGTGGAGGGTCTGGAGCTGACCAGTGTCGGGATTAAAGCGAGTTTGGGTCCATTGTCCCAAGGACAGCCGGGTCCCGACTGCCTCTCTCACCCCAGGCACGACCCCTCCTCTCCTATTACGGTCAGAGAGCCCCACACGAAGATTTCCACACGGAATTTTCCCATTTTAACACAACAGCCCTCACTTCAGCCAGAGAGGAGACTTCCAATAGGATTCTTAAGCCTCTGAAAGGGGGATGCGCTGCGGTCACAGATCCAGAGCCGGCTCTTCACTGCCGCTCACGTCTTCCTTTGTGAAACAGATTGGAACCAAGTTAATTTGGGATAAACAATTTGGTATTTTATCTGAATTTACACAATATTTCTGAGTAGTGATAGAAGAAAACCTGGCAGAGGCTGTTCATCTCCCCCTGTAATGTAGGGCGTACAAACCAACGTTAAAAGCTCCCTCGTGGCCCCCAGCTCTGGGTCGGTTTCATTTTGTAAAAACTAGGGTTTCTTTTTAACTTGTGGTAACCCATGGTGGGCTTCATCGCGTTAAACTCCTGTGATGGTCCAGGAGGGGCTGCCCCGGGCCGGGCTGTTCATTAGAGGCGGGGGAGGCGGCAGGCAGGCAAGCAGCCACCTTCCCTGCAGAATAATTGCGTGTGTGTGTGTGTGTGTGTGTGTGTGTGCGTGTGCGTGTTTCCAGCCCATTCCCGAGCCGCCAGGCCTCCCCGCTCCCTCCGGCCTGTGTGGACACTGCTCTTGAGACACCAGCAGTTCCCGGGGAGTCAGATTGCTAAAGCGGTGTCCCTCTTTCTGTCCTACATGCAGCCATTCTTTTTCCCTCCAGCCCCGAAGGAAAGGACTGTAGCCGCTGTTTTACAGCGTGTTAATGTGGCTCCCGGTGACTGAAGTCAAAGGCTGAAGGCCGAGCAGTTTGCTCAGACGGGAGGCTGGGACTTGTGCCAAGACGGCGGCTTCCAGGCTGCGGGCTGTGCTCCGAGCGCAGGCGGCGAGGACACGCGGCTCCAGCAGGGGGAGCGGGCGCTTTGCGGCTACAAGTGGCTACAAGAGACCGGCTCACCCCAGTCTGGATCCTGAGGCCACCCCCCCACCCCGCCTTGACAGGGTGCAAAGGGCTCTCCTGAACGTCCTCGGAAGCCGGGGCCTGCAGCGGGAAGGGCGCGGGGAGGGGACCTGCTTCACCCCGCAGGCCCGCCCCCAGGACGCGCCCTCCTCTGCAGACCTGGCACCTGAGCCGCGCTCTTCCTCAGCTCCGTGTCCAGACAGCTGGCTTTGTTCTGGGACCAGGTGCGGGGAGAGGAGTTTAAAATGCAGGTGAACCATCAAAGTCTGCTTTTATCAAATGAGGAACCCCGCCTCGCCAGGTCCCTGCAGCCACCGTCCCACCTGGAGACGCCTCGCCTCGCCCTCGGGCCTCCCGGCCTGGGCTGGGCTGCGGGAGGCCTGCGAGCGTGGCGGCAGGAAGAGCCAGAGAGCCAGTTGCAGGAGATCGGAGGGCGGGGGTCTCTGTGCCACAGTTTCCCTTGGGTGGGGTGGGTGCCTCAGGAGGAGCTGGGGGTCAGGGTCAGCAAACCCCTCCATCTTTGGGGCTTTCCAAACCAAAAGCAAATAGAAAGAATGCGGACTCTCTCAGCTGTCCGTCCTCTGGGCGGGAATGCAGGGTCCCTGAGGGGACCAGACTGCAAGCGTCTACCCTGAGCAGTGGGCGGGCTGTCCCCGGCCCCTTGGGCCTACGATCACCCCATGTATATAGGACAGCACAATTCAAACCGCAATTTAAATATTAGAGCTGCCTGTGACTTTATTCTAAAAGTGAGATGGGAATTTGAAAACACGCCAGTAAAAGAGTGAGGCCCCTGGCTGTGGGTTCCAGCGAGACCGGAGACCGGAGACCGGAGACCGGAGACCAGAGACCTCGGGCCCCATAGGCAGTGTCTGCAGGCACCTGGGGATCAGTCGGGCGAGACAGGGGTGTAGGACTGCTCCTGCTTCCCAGAGCCAATTTCACAGAACCGCACTCCCTGCTGGGGATTTAAACAGTGTGGTCAGCCGATGACACCCCCTCCTGCCCCTTCTGTAGCCAAGTACGTGAGGCAGCTGCAGCTCCCCAAACAGCCCAACTCCCTATGGAGCGGGTGACAGCACCTGGCAGGGAGGAGAGAACCTGTCCAACCAGTCAGGGGTGTCCTGGGGATAGAGGAGAGAGTGTGTGAATGGGTTTTGAAAATGGTGCTATAAATAGTTTAAAGACCTGGCTGATTATAAGACCTTGCCCAGTGGAGAAAGAAAATCTAAGTTACTACAGGGCACAGGCCAGGTCCTCCAGGAAGAGGCTCTGGGAGCCCCTGGCTGGGGGCTGGTGGAGGAGGGCGTGGGTGAGGTACCTGCAGCCAGGCCAGTGCTGCCCAGACCCCGGGAGACGGCTTCTTCCTCTCACTGCCCAGCCACCTGTGCCCAGCCTCCTCCCCAGCCCCAAGCCATCCAGACCCTGCACTCTCCATCTGGTCCCCCTTCTTGCTCACTAGACCTGATGAGGACTCAGGCGTGGGGCTCTGACTCTTAGCCATCCTCTCTGAGGAAACAAGGCCAGGCAGCCCCTAAAGCAGTGGTTCTCAACCTTCCTAATGCCGAGACCCTTTACCACAGTTCCTCATGTTGTGGTGACCCCCAATTTCATTGTTACAAATTGAACATAATTAAAGCATAGAAATTAATCACAAAAACAATATGTAATTATATATGTGTTTTCCGATGGTCTTAGGCGACCCCTGTGAAAGGGTCGTTCAACCCCCAAAGGGGTCGCGGCCCACAGGTTGAGAACCACTGCCCTAAAGCGAAAGCGTTTCCTTTGTGTCTGCATTTGAAGGTAGGAAATGATTTGAATTCAGGGCCTTGTGTCCGAGGCCAAGTCTGAAGCCCCCCTGGTGCCCCACGGCCCTGCATGGGCTGCAGCAGAGGAACCACACAGCCAGGCTGTCACCTTTTTGGGTGAGAGACCCTTGGGCACCTAGTGAAAGACGTGCTTCCTCTCCGGGAACTACACACCCCAAATAGGGATTTTGCATACACTTGGCAGGTCCCCAGACACCAGGAGTCCATGCAGGGAGCTAGGCCGCCCGGGGGCGGGGGGGGGCTCAGCTGGCAGGGTGACGGAATGCTACCATCATCCCTGGTTTTCTAGGGGAGGAACCGGAAAAGAGGGAAACTGTAACCTGGTTTCCATCCTTACAGAGATACGGCATCTTTGTAGATATTTTATCAAATCACTTCCCTGAAATGTGTTTTGGTGATCTGAATGGTTTAAGTTTAGGCAGTTTGCACTTAGCAAACTGTTTCCGAGCCTTGAGCAAACGATAGAAAATATAAACAGCAACACTCAGCTTGATGGTGACAGTTTAAACACAAACAGTAAAGAAAAGTTCAATCAAAATGAACGGGACAGCCGACTGTTATGGCTCAGTAGACTGAGATCCCGGGTTCGATTCCCAGTCAGGGCACATATCCAAGTTGCAGACTCGATCCCCAGTAGGGGGTGTGTAGGAGGCAGCCGATAGATGTGTCTCTCTTATCAATGTTTCTCTCTCTCTCCCTCTCCCTTCCTCTCTATCTAAAAATCAATAAATACATATTTAAAAAATTAATAAGACAAAATAGTGATTTTTAACTTAAGACCCAATTTCATCAGTTCTTAAAAACCTTTTTTTGCATGTTCTCTGGAATTCTATCAGTTGAGAACAAACTCAGAGGTTATTACCTTATTTATGTCCTTGTTCATGGACCTTTTTCCTTACAGACACGTATCACTAGGATAATTTCACACACTTCTTAGCCACTTTCCTAACTACCAAGCTGGATTTTTCTCCCGAGGCACCTGCACTCTGCTACCAGTACAGGCATTAACTGGGGAGTTCTCTGGTCAAAGAAACACATTCGGTTTTAATTCTTACACATTAGTCCAGCGATTTTTCAACCCGTGTGCCACAAGAATTGTTGAAACATGCAACCCCTGACTATTTACTTATTTGTAATATTTTTTTATTGATTTCAGAGAGGAAGGGAGAGGGAGAGAGAGAAAGAAACATCAATGTTGAGAATCATTGATTGGTTGCCTCTTGCACACCTCCTACTGGGGATCAAGCCCACAACCAGGGCATGTGCCCTTGACTGGAATCGAACCCGGGACCCTTCAGTCCCTAGGTTGATGCTCTATCCACTGAGCCAAACCGGGTAGGGCAACACCTGGCTATTTAGTCAGGGGCACTGACCTCTTTTCCCTTAGACTGTCAAAAAAATGGCAACAGCCAACACAACAATACCCTTTTTTTTTTGTCCGATCGGCAAATAATGTAATATATATATATATTGGTGTGCTGCAGAATTTTAGTAATTAGTTTATGTGCTATGAGATGAAAAATGTTGAAAATCGCTGGTCTATTCATCTGTTCCTTCAAAATCATGTATTTGTCTAATTGCTGGAAGGCACTATTCAGTTTGTTCCCCATGAAAGTAAAGTTGGTAGTAATGAGGAATAAGTGGTAAAATACCCCAATTCTTTTTCTCCTTTAACTCACTATTTGTTTAAACAGTAGAGCACAACATTTATTTTAAATTTATTATTATTTTTTTATTAAGGCACATGATTCATAGAATGCTGAGGTACAAAATGCAAATTTCTGCATAAGAGTTTTAAAATACTCATTTTGGAAAATGAAGGTGAACATCATCTTCCAGAATATTCAACTTTTAGCTTGTTTTTTCTTTTGGACCAGTTCAACCAGCAACTTGTATCTAGCGATACAGTCTTCCTGTAGGAAGAAAAAGAGGTGAAACAATTACTTCCACAAACCAGAGAGGTAAAACAATTACTTCCTGGGTAAGCCTGCCTGTCAGCTGTGCCCAGTGATAATGAGACAGTCTCATGTCCATTCACTCTGCACAGGACCTGCCTAGAATTTCCCAGGTGAGTCTGGGTGGTCACAGGAAGGTAAGGCTAGACAGGTGCAAGGAGGCGGCCAGCTGAACGTCCAGCTCGGGGTGGTGCGAATCGCTAGGTGAGGGCCAGTGGCGGCTGTCTGTGAGGCCTGCTATCATTGCGACCGTGACGTTCACTTTGCTAACTATAATGATCACGTTTAACATCTCACTATTTCATCACATGTCATTTCAGAGAAACCAAAAAACGCGAGGCCACGCGTCCAGGATATTCTCCTTCGGGTTTGCCCCTCTCCTAAGGCTGCCGTGGACCTCCCCCTCCGGCCACTCCTGGAGTCACTGCACCGCAGACGAGCCCCGCAGCCTTTCCTGGACCCGGTTCTAATGTCAGGGCTGAAAGGGAACTTCTGCAGGACAGGAAAAGCTGCTCATTTCTGGTTGAGACAGGAAGGCTCCCAAACCCCAAGGCAGTGCGTTTCTGAGTGTCCTAAGGAATCCAGTCCCCTCTCCTTCCTTTTACGCCAACGCCAGTTCATCACATAGGCAGATGCCTGTGTCCTGACAGATGCTGGAGAAATTTAGGGAAAATAATTACTTCTGGTAAAGCAGTTGGAGAGGCAGGGGGAGTCTGTGTTTCTCAAATAGATCAACTGACAATGGTTTTATTTTTCTCCGTGGGAAACCCTGACTCCTCATTTTAAAGTGGGTGATAGATAACGAGACCTGTACACCCGGGGGCATTCATGGCCACAAGCTAGATTGTCCAACATAGAATTTCAATTAAAAAAATAAGAATGTAAATGAACATCAATGTGCCCAGAGGCTATTGAGTAAAAGGCACAGAAGGCAGAAGAGATTGGTTCTTTGATTTCTCAGTGTTCCTAGTGCCTCAGACAGAAGAGCATGGCCGCAAGGAGAGAAGCCCCGGAGACTGAGTGTCGGGCAAGGGCAGAGCAGGAAAGACCACACGGAGAGGAACTCCACTGGCCGAGCAGAGGGCAAAGGCCGGGTGGGGCTGGCGTTCCCCAGGGACACCATCTTCCCGCCTGTCTGAGTTTTTAATCTGAGGACTATCTGCAGATGCACTGAAGCAGATACTAAATGGGGAGGAAAGTCTGTTATAGAAGTCAAGGCTACAGACCCCACATACAAACATGCCTCCAGGGTCTCCGGTCAGCTGCCCGCTACTGCTGAGTCCAGAGCCACAGAGCTGGGACCACACATCCCTGGGCTAAAGGCTCGTCACAGAGCTCGGGGGGTTCGTGATTTTGAGAAACCTCCTCACTCTGCTTAGAGGGAGCTGCCACCTGGGAGAGCAAATGCTCCAGAGGCTGGCGGGGTGACCGAGGGTGACATTTATGTTCCATGCCTGGAATTTTCTCAGGAAAACTACCTGGTCTGTATAATGGCCCACTTAGACTGCTGACCTCCTTCATGCACACTAACCAGCGAGTGCACAGGTCCCGGGGAGAGCCCGGACACCGAGCTCCCAGGACAGCTGCAGACAGGGGCTGTGACCGAGACGGGGCAGAGCTGGCTGCGGTCACTGCGGTGGCTCTCACACCTTTCCCCGCCTCACCCACCTTACTCTTAGACGGGACGCATTTGGCGATCTTGTCCCAGCGGTCAGAGGATCCCTTTGGGTATTGCTGTAATGCTAATTCCAGAAGTTTCTGCTGATTCTGAGTCCATGGCTCCTCTGCAGTGCGGCTTCTCTCTTTCCTCTGGCTCTCCTCGTCGCTCGATGCGGTTTGTTCTGATATATCGAAGTCCTTCTGCCTCCTTCCACGGAACTTCTCCTCTGGCTCTGCCTTCGCTGCCGCCTCGGGCAGCCTGGCTGGCTTGCGTCTCCTCGGCTGGCCTTCCGGGACCGCGGCCTCCTGCTCCTCCTGCTCCTGCTCGCTGTCCTGCCCAGCGCCCGCGGCCTGCTGGGCGTCCTCCCGCTGGGTGATGATGTCGTCGGGCAGGGCCACGGTGGCCTTGCCGGGCCTGGAATGCTGAGCTGTTGACTTGAGCTCAGAGAGCCTCACCGTCCCTGTGGGAAAGGGCACTCACACAGATGAAGGGGTCACGTCAGGAGACGAGAGGGACAGCGGCCTCTCACCCAGCAGGCGATGTCCCCGGCATTTCACATGTCATCTCACTTAATTCTTACTTTGCTCTAGGACAGGTATCGGTGTCCTAATTTTACCGATGAGGAAAGTCAGCCTCAGAAGGCAGCAGAGGTGGGGGCGGGGGGACCTGAACCCGCTCTGCCTGGTCCCACCGCTCTGAGGAGCAGTGGGTGTACCTGGAACCCACAGTGATCAGAGTGCACAGGCCTCCGAGGAACAGCTGCTACTTTTGAGGTTAGGAAGGTGGTTCTTCACTATCCAGAGTTGCCCTTAATTCCATTAGCACAACTAAAGCGGGTCTGTCCGAGCTCACGCCGCGCCACCATCTGCAGGTGACCACGCACCTGTGGGATCTGCTCTCTACTCAAAGCCGCTTCCGATGCCACCGTGACCGACACCTGTTCATTTCAGCGCTCGGCAGAAAGTGGGCAAACTGACCCTGCCTCCCAGCCACGGGTGTCGCCTCAGAGATGCCCTGAAACACCCAACTGCACCCCTCCCACCCCTCCGCCAATGCTCTGGCAGGACCCGCCTGTCTGTTCACTTGGCTACACCACACTGCCTTTCCAGAATGCATCTTTGGAGAATGCTGTGGAGGTCAGCTTCTTTTACACGTCATCTCCCTGCCGATTTCTGCCTCCATGCCCAGACAGATAACTCTATTGGTAGAAAAGGATCTGGAAATGCCCCCTTTCCTAAAGCCTGCAGACCCCACGCTGAGCCCTTCCTGGGGACGACTTCGGGCACCTCCAGGGTTGCTCACCTGCACTAAACTCCCTGGGACCTGTATTTAGGTTAAGTTGGAAGGTTTAGGAGGCATTTTCTTACTTCCTGGTTCTAGGCAAACAGTACGGAGACACTAACAAAATTCCAGTTAGTCTTGGAAGAAACATTTGGAGAAACATAGATCCTTGGGAAAACTGCTTGTTGCTCTTCTGAGGGCAGTGTGTGGATGCGTGGGGTGGGGCGGTGTAGGGACACTGCACACAGTCCCCTTCGTCCCTGACCCCAAACTAGAGGAGAACAAGGTTTTTTATAATTCTTTAAACTTACCACATACATCTTAGCACCCACTATATGTTTAGGGCTGAATTGGCTAGTGGTTCCTATAATTTGACGCCTTTTATTTAAAAAAAATATTTTTATTGATTTCAGAGAGGAAGAGAGAGAAATATCAATGATGAGAGAGAATCATTGATCAGCTGCCTCCTGCATGCTCGCACTGGCGATCAAGCCTGATCAGGCATGTGCCCTTGACAAGCATCGAACCTGGGACCCTTTAGTCCACAGGCCGATGTTCTACCCACTGACCCAAACCAGCTAGGGCTAATTTGACACCTTTTAGAGGTTTGGCCAATAGAGTTCATTGGTCAAAGCTATTACACCATCGGATTTAAAGATGTTATAAAAAGGGATTTATTTTAAAGAAACTGCTTTGGATTAATGGGGTGAAGTAGATGCTAACTCACCTGGGGAGCAGGTGACTGAATCCTTCAGTTGTTTGGCTTTGGTTGTCACCTGTTACAAAATATAAAAGCAAAGAAAATCTTACTTTCCACATCCCTACGATATAGGTCAAGTGATGTATTTCATATAAAGTGTTGGTTATACCTCTTATTAGCTAGGTAACCTTGAGCTTTCTCGTGTAATACCTTCTGTAATATGTAGATATGATACCGATACCATTTGCCTGTGAGGGATGTTTTAAGTTTGAAATAAGCTCTTAGCAAGATATTAAAGGCTCAGTAAGTATTATCCATTATAACTGACATGGATCATTTGTTTTTCATTCATACAAAAGGCAGAATTAGGGAAAATATTTAAACATGGTTCTTTCCTCTCTCTTTCCAGATGGCTTTGCTTCCTAGTTTTTTGGGAAAAAGTTGAAGTTATCCAACATGAGCTTCCACAGCTTCCAACTTTCCCAACTCCAATTATTGTATCAAAATACAGCTTTCCCTTCTATTATTCCAACTCCAAGAAATTATCCTCCTTCTTCTTGAATCATCGCAAAACTGCTTCATCAATTAATTTCCTCTGCTTTCATCTTGAACGTCTCCCTGTCCATCAGATATGTCCCACAACTTTCACACTCGGCTCAAGTGGCCCTCCTCTAAAAGGCTGTCTTCCCTGGAGCTTCTTTTCTGTTTCACTTGGCTTTCATGACAGTATTTCCTAGTTTTCCATCTCTATCTCTGAATGTTCCTTTATTGGCCCCTTCTATATACTCCTGCCTCTTGTTCCCAAATATAATATTCCTCAACACTCTGTCCTTGCTATTCACTTGTTCTTTCCATTTTCTTCTTGGGTATCTCAAACCAAGTATTTGAGAACACTATAGATAGGAAATGATTAGCCTACATCTCTGGTTCAGATCTCTACCTTGGAATGCTAGGCTGGCAGAAATTGACCACGTAACCTAATAGATCTGAAAAGGACCTCAATTTTATGACAGTAAGCTTACTATGCAGCAGGTACTGTTCTAAATAAGAATGTGTGTGTATACATATTCCCACAGCAGTTATATTAGGTAGGTATATAATTATCCCCATCTTACATAATCTGAAACTCAGAGAATAAATATGTCCAAGATGAAAAGGCTAGTGAATAGCTGAAATCAGGCAAATCGTGCTCCAAAATCTTTGCTCTCAATCCCTGTAAATACTGCCTTTCAAATCCAAATCTCTTACAGATGAGGAAACAAGTGCACCTGCTGATACACTACAAGGCTCCCCTTTAACTTCCACTAATCTTACTTGGAGGTCTTCTAGTTCCACAAACTAAACAAACCCCTGACTACACCCAACTTCTCAGGTTTAATATATTTGGATATGTGCACCCATCACCACTGCCAATTTTAGAACGTTTTCATCATGTTGATGCTTTAGCTATCACTGCTCATCCTCCCCACCTTATCTGAACCTATCTGAACCTACCTCCCCTCACTCCCAACTAATCTAGCTCTGTCTCTTTAGAGGTTCCTATACTGGGCTTTCATATGAGCAGAAGCATATAATAATACTAGAGGCCCGGTGCATGAAAATTCATGCACTGGAAAAGGGGTCCCTCAGCCCGGCCTGCCCCCTCTCACAGTCCGGGAGCCCTCAGGGGCAGGAGGTGACCCAGTGATCAGGGGAAGGCGACGCCCCATCACACCTCTGCTGCTGCCACTGCTGGCAGCGCAAGCCTTGGCCGGCCCTGGTTACCTGAGCCTTGGGCCGGACCTGGGCGGCTGTGGGGCTGAGGGGACTGGGGGTCTCCGGAGGCAGGCATGCGGAGCAGCCGGGCCTGCCTGGGGGCAAGCCCAGCCTTGCCATGTGCCTGCTGCCCCGGTGGGGCTGAGGGGACTGGGCACCGCCATCTTTGAGGGTGTGGCAATTAGCATATTTCCTTATTGGCTGTGGGTGCCACCATCTTTGCAATGATGTGAGGGTCAATTAGCATATCCCCTCTTTATTAGATAGATGTGGACTTCTGTGGTTGGCTCCTTCTTTCCTTCCTCACTCCCCCCCTCCCTTCTTTCTTTATTGTTGAAAGTGTTACATGTCTCCTTTCCCCCCCATTGATCACTCCCAGGCTGGTCCCACCCCTCAGCACATGCCCTCACCTCCCTAGCATCTGTGTCCATTGGTTATGCTTATATGCATGCATACAAGTCCTTTGGTTGATCTCTTATCCTCCTCCCCTGCCTTCCCTCTGAGGTTTGACGGTCTGTTCGATGCTTCTCTGTCTCTGTTTTTGTTCATCAGTTTATGTTGTTCATTATATTCCACAAATGAGTGAGATCATGTGATACTTACCTTACTGTGACTGGATTATTTTGCTTAGTATAATGCTCTTCATGTCCATCCATGCTGTTGCAAATGGTAAGAGTTCTTTCTTTTTTACAGCAGCATAGTATTCCATTGTGTAGATGTACCACCATTTTTTTAATCCACTCATCTGCTGATGGGCACTTAGGTTGTTTCCAAATCTTAGCTGTCGTACTGTAAATTATGCTGCTATGAACATAGGGATGCATATGTCCTTTCTGATTGGTGTTTCTAGTTTCTTGGGATATATTCCTAGAAATGGGATTACTGGGTCAAATGGGAGTTCCATTTTTAATTTATTGAGGAAACTCCATACTGTTTTCCACAGTGGCTGCACCAGTCTGAATTCCCACCAGCAGTGCATGAGGGTTCCTTTTTCTCCACATCCTTGCCAGCACTTGTCAATTGCTGGATGATAGCCATTCAGACAGGTGTGAGATGGTATCTCGTTGTTTTGATTTGCATCTCTCAGATGATTAGCGACTTTGAGCATGTCTTCATGTCTCTTGAACTTCTGTATGTCCACTTTTGAAGTGTCCATTTATTTATGTCTTCTTCTATTGCCTTTTTTAATGTCGTGTAGTTTTCTGAGTACAGGTCTTTTACCTCCTTACTTAAGTTTATTCCTAGGTATCTTAAGTTTTTTGATGCAATGGCACATGGGATTGTTTTTTTAGTTTCTCTTTCTGTGAGTTCATTATTGGTGTATAAAAAAGCCATAGATTTCTGGGTATTAATTTTGTATCCTGCTACATTGCCAAATTCATTTATTAAATCTAATAGTTTTTTGATGGACTCTTTAGGGTTTTCAATGTACAATATCATGTCATCTGCGAATAATGACAGTTTTATTTCTCCTTCCTGTCTGATTGCTATGGCTAGCACTTCCAGTACTATGTCAAACAGGAGTGGTGAGAGTGGGCATCCCTGTCTTGTTCCAGTTCTTAGGGAAAATGGTTTTAGTTTTTGCCCATTGAGTATGATGTTGGCTGTAGGTTTGTCATATATGGCTTTTATTATGTTGAGGTATGATTCCTCTAGTCCCACTTTGCTGAGAGTTTTTATCAAGAAAGTGTGTTGTATTTTGTCAAATGCTTTTCTGCATCAATTGATACAATTATGTGATTTTTATCTTTCAATTTGTTTCTGTAATGTATCACGTTTATTGATTTGCGGATATTGTGCCAGCCTTGCATCCCTGGAATATATCCCATTTGGTCATGGTGTATGATCTTTCTAATGTAATGCTGGATCCTATTTGCTAGAATTTTGTTTAGAATTTTAGCATCTATGTTCATTAGAGATATTGGCCTGTAATTCTCTTCCTTTGTAGTGTCTTTATCTGGTTTTGGGATTAGGTAATGCTGGCTTCATAGAAAAAGCTTGGAAGTGTTCCTTATACAATTCCACTTATATGTGATTTCTAGAGAAGGGAAATTTATACATATATGAAACAGATCTGTGGTTGCCTGAGTTAGGAGAAGAAAGTCGGGAATGACTGAAAATTGGATTGAGGAAACTTTTGGGTGATGAAAATGTCTGGAACTAAATTGTGGTGATTGCAAACCACAAATTTACTAAAAAAATCATTTAATTGTACACTAACAATGGGAAATTTTAAGCTATGTGAATTATATCTAGTGTTTTTTTTGTAAAAAGAGACAACACAAGATCTACTCTCAACAAAATTTAAAGTGTACCATACAATATTTTTAACTACAAGCACAAAATTGCATAGCAGATTTCTAGAACTTATTCATCTTGCATAACTGAAATTTTATACTCTTTGGACAGCAACTTTCCATCCTCATCCCCACCCCCCAGCAACCACCATTCTACTAGTTGCTACTATGAGCTTAACTATTTTATATCTCATGTAAGTGGAATCATGTGGTATTTTGTCCTTCTGTAACTAGCTTATTTCACTTACGTTCTTAAGGTTCACTCATGGTGTTGCATAGTACATAATTTTCCTTCTTTATATGGCTGAATAATATTCCAGTGTACGTATGTGTGTGTATAATATTTCCTTTATCCATCCATCTGTCATATTTCCATCCTAGCCATTCATGTGGGGTGCATCTTGACTACTGTGAATAGTGCTGCAATAAACATGAGAATGCATATATTTCTCAGATATCCAGATTTCACTTCTTTTGGCTATCTACCCAGAAGTGGGATTGCTAGGTTACAGAGTAATCCTACTTTGAATTTTTTGAGTAACCTTCATACTGTTTTCCATAATGACTGAATAATTTTATGTTCCCACCAACAGTGCGCAAGTGTTCCAATTTCTCCACATGCTTGCCAACACTTGTCATTTTTATTTTTAATGGCCATCCCGACAAGAGTGAGATGATACCTCATTGTGATTTTGATTTGCATTTCCCTGATGACTACTGATTTGAGCATCTTTTCATATACCTGTTGGCCATTTAAAATGTGTTTTTTTTTTGGGGGGGTGAGTTGTAGGAGGTCTTTTTATATTTTGGAGATGAATTCCTGGTCAGATATATGGGTTTGCAAATATTTGCTCCCATCCCTTATGGCAGTGATGGCGAACCTATGACACTCATATTTTTGGGTTTGATTTTTTCTTTTGTTAAAATGGCATTTAAATATATAAAATAAATATCAAAAAATATAAATCTTTGTTTTACTATGGTGCAATATCAAAAATTTCTATATGTGACAATGGCACCAGAG